TTTTTATGAGAATTTATATTTCTATAAAAAGAATAGTTTTTAATATAGGAATCTCATTTTTAGGGGACAGTAAGAATATAAAATTATTGAATTTTGGAGCAGCCTGTTTTTCTCAGTAAACTTTATTGGAATCTCTGCAAAGAAGTGCATGGATCCCAAGTGTGCAGCTGCATATACACAACAAATGTGCACAATTAGATTATTCAATAACAATTAGCATACATTCTTTTGTGTGTCTCTTCTTTCTACTGTTATTTCTTTTGTGTTCACTCTTTAGCAAAACAAACACCAATCTAAGAGTTTCTTAACGTACAGTTTGGTGACGTTGGCTGCTGCCTTGGAATTGTGCCACCCACCAAAGTCTTCTGAATTCATCCTTCCTCATGAATGAAAACTTGTTGCCCCCTAAGGTTCCTAGCTAATCTTTCTTGTCTCTTGGTCCCTGTAAATAGTTCTTAAAATAGCAGAATGTTCAAGGCAGATTATGATTACTAAGTAAGCAAGCCTGTTGTTCAGTTTTAAGATGAATTCAGTGGATATTTCCAGCGTAAGATTTAAAGATTGCCTCTGAGCAGTAGCTTCAGGAATTCAGCCTCCTTAGTTCCTGAAAGTCTGGAATCAATGAAAATTTGAAATTCTGGTTCATACTTTTCCATCATTTTAATTAAGATTCTTCTATAGGGTCTTTAGGCTCTGACATACTTTGGACATGTTGCAAGGAGGGACTGGTCCTTGGAGAGGGACATCATGCTTGGTAGGGTGGAGGGACAGCACAGAAGGGGAAGACCCCTATGAGGTGGATTGATTCAGTGGTTGGGGTAATCAGGATGGGTGTGTCGGAGACAGTGCTATTGGCACAGGACAGAGCAGAGTTTAGGGCTGTTGTACATAGGGTCACTATGAGTCACAAGCGACTCGACGGCACATAACATAACAACATAGGGTCTTTGGTCAAAGGGGTCAGTAATGGTAGTCATGCACCATCTAGTTCTGGTAGTCATGCACCATCTAGTTCTCTTCATCTTTTGTTAACCTTGTGTTCCGTTTCCTCCTCTTATTCCTGACTTCCTCATATGTTGTTCCTGGTGAATAGAGACCAAGCATTGTAAGCAGGATTATTATTGTGAAGTGCTTTTGAGTCGAGTATGACTCATAGCAACCCACTGAACCTATCCTGTACCATTCTCACAGTCTCTGATATACTTGATCCCACTACTGCAGTCACTGTGACTATCTACCTCTTTGAGGGCCTTCCTCTCTTTCACTGGCTTTCCCCATCTTTCCAGACATGATGCTCTTTTTCAAGGACTAGCCCCTCCTAACAACATACCCAAAGTGTGTGAGCTGGAACTTCACCATCCTTGCCTCTAAGAGCACTCTGGCTGCACTTTCTCTAAGACATGTTTGTTTGTTCTTTTGGCGGCCCACAGGCCACTCAGCACTGTTCTCCAACACTTTGAGAGGGGTCACTTTTCCAAAGTGCAATACTCCCTCCAGCAGTGTGTGAGTATTGCTGTCAGGCAGCATTTTGAAAGTATTTTGGACATCATAAATCTTTAATGATTACTTCCATTCATGAAAGTTGTGCTTCTGTATAAAATATTTAAAATATTGTTTGTGAAACTAAGCTTGAGTTTTAAGTGATATATAAAATATTTATTTTTGCGCAGTAGGATTAGTTTTGAGCACTTTGTTGAAAGATTTGCAAAAAAATCCCAGAGATTTTTGGTGTAGAAATACTTAGTTTTAACACAAAGAACATCTTTCATTTGTGTCATTAAAAAGAATGTAGATTCTTTTTGAGTCTTGCTTTATTTTTTAAAAAATAAGTACATAAATGATATATATAGAATAATTTATGGGGTGACAAACTCTTTTAAGTAAATAAAATGGCAAATATTATTATAATTCAATCAAAGAAAAATAACTCCTTTAATTAAGATCAGCTTCTAGTGACATGTCAGCTTCATCCATACTTTAATAGAATGGATATAAGGAAATGAGGATGTACTGTTTTCTATGCGTATTTTTAAATATTACAGTGTTAGCCAAAATGTTGTTTTTCATGTGGAAGGAGATTGTTTGCTTTATTCAAAATAATGTGAATATTTGCATGAGCCCTACATTATAGATTTTTTTTCTTGTCTTCCTTCCTTTTTTTATTAGCATAAACTCCTCCTTCCTGGTGCCTTAGTCCCTCATCTTGTTTTGCTTTTAGAAGTTTGTTATGAGATCTTAGTAAATCAGTTCTTAACCAGCTGCAGTGTCAGTTCTGTGTCAGAAGGGAAAGCTCACCATCTGGCATGTACCATCCTTGTCCTATCTTGTCCTACCTTGGTGGAGGGAACTGAAGATTTAGGTAACAAAATGAGAGTTAGTTAGAAAAGATTCCCCTTGCAGTATAAGCTTGGGATAAAAGCAGACAGCTTTCCATTGACCACTTTTGTTCTTGCTGTATACTGTGAAGTCGATTCACATTCATAGCCACCCTCCAGGACTGAGTAGAACTGCACCATAGGATTTCCTAGACTGTAATCTTTATGAGAGCTGACTGCCCCTTGTTTTCTCCTGTCGAGTCACTGTGTGGGCATAACCACCAACCTTCTGCTTAGCAGCCAAGTTGTGGCACGAGGGGGTGTTCCACTCCCTTTTTTAAATTGAGAAACATTTCCAATTTTTATTCTTAAAATTATGAATCAGAATTGCAAAGGCGAATTTACCAAGCCACTTCTAAACAACGAGAGGGAGATTCTGGAAAGTTCACAAGAGCACATCTCACTCAGCTAGCATCTGCTGACACTGTGGCTGCTCTGGAGGTTACATTCATTCCTGTATTTTCTCAATCAGCTCTTCCTTCTATTTGCCACTCTTTTTTCCAGCTTGCTGAGATTTGGCTTTGTGCTCAAGAGTGTTTACTCGATCTTTGTCTTCATTTCAGCCTGTTGATACCACCTTGCTTGGGTGAACACCCACACGGACAGCCTTTTCATGCTGCACTCTTTCCATGTAAATGGCATACATTTTCCTGGACACCTTGCAATTTGCTGACCCTTGTAGTGTCCTCGAACCAGCTGGCCCTCCTGGTTCTCATGGGGGGCAGCGAGTGCACACTGTCTTCTCCTGCAGCTCCTTGGAGAGCGAGGAGGACATACCTTCCTGTGCACACGCAAGAGGGCACTGAAGTAGTGTTTGCGGTTCTTGCTGCCACCTTCTTCTGAGGTCACATAAGGGTTGAACTTCAGACTGCCAGAGGCCTGCTGCAAGTGCTAATTACTCCTTTATATTCAGTTATTCACTGAAACAACTCATAGAATTCACAGGTCTGTACTTCATATTAGAGTTCTGGTGACCTAGTATAAGAAGCTGTGCTGCACTAAAGGCACGTCGTTCGAATACACCAGCTGCTCTATGGGAGGATGGGCCATCTCCTTTCATCTGATTAACTGCTTCTGACAACCCACTGGAGGGTCAGCTATGGGTCTGTTCCAACTCAATGACCCACAACAGCAACAACATGCTTTAAAAGGAAACAAATGAAGAACTAAGGCAAGGTCTGGAAGGGTTCCTAGTTTGGTGCTTCCATATCCCAAAAGGAAACATGCTATGTGCTTGTGTGTTTCAATGAGCCAGGGAGCTCGTGGAACCTTTGCACTCAGAACTTTGACTAAGAGCAGTCTATGTGGAGTTGGGCTGCCCTCACAAAGGCAAAGCCTCTCTAGCAGTTCAAACTAGCTGTGACTCCGAGGAAGAAAGGTAAACCTCGTCCTGTGCTATTCACACCCTCCACCAACCCAGTGGAGAGTAAGCTCTGAGTGAGTTCTGCCTCAACAGCAATGTGTTTAACTATTTTTTTTTCTTTCTTTCTTCATTACATAACACAAATTCCAGCTCCTCTCCCTTAAGGTCTGTTGATATCACAAGGTGGTCTTTTGGTCTTTTGGTGGCTGACCAACTCCCATTTCAGGGTTATCTCATCACTTAAATTCCAAGGGGTGTGTGTGTGTTTGTGTGGTGTGTGTGTGTGTGTGTGTGTGAGTGCACCTTAAAAAGATTCTCTGTCATGGATTAAGGTAAAAATCCACATTACTTTCTACCCCACAGTTTCTTTTCCTTTTATGTTTTCTTCCAGACTTGAGCTTTCCTTTCCCCCTGTGTCTATGTGTCATTTCACCTTGCTTCAGTTTAACAAGGGTGGTTTAGTGAGATTATAGGGGGCTGTGGGTGGTATAAACAGTTGAATGACTAACTGGAAGCTTTGGGCCCACTCAGGGGTGCTGAGGAGTCAAATCCTGGCACTCTACATCCATAAAGATGACAGCCAAGAAAACCCTGGGAGCAGTCTGCTTTGCACACATAGGGTCAGAATAGTTGGCAGTGGGTTTGTACTTTCTGTCTTTGTGAAATGCTTGAAAGTTCAGATAAAAGCCCAAATGCCTGGTATGGAGTCCACCTATTGTGTTGCATGTAACATGTGCTGTCAAGTCAGCTGTGACTCAGCGATCCTATGCACAGTAATTCTGAACTCCGCTCTATCCTGAGGCAATCCCACTGTCTCTGACACACCTACCCTCTTCACTCCAGTTATTATGTCAATTCATCTCATGTGAGGGCTTCTCTCCTGCACTGTCCCTTAGCCCTTCCAAGTATGATATCCTTCTCCAAAGACTGACTCCTCCTGGTTACATGACCAAAGTATGTGGGATGGACTCTCAAAATCATTGCTTTCAAGGAGCAGCTTGGTCTCACCCTCTCCAGAAAAGACCTGTTAGTTCTCTTGGTGGCAGCCCATGGTATGTTCAAAACTCTTTTCCAACTTGAAGGCACCAATTTTTCTTTGTCATATTTGGTCATTGTCCAGCTCTCTGATGCATAGCAAGCAATTGTGAAGACTATGGCCTAGATCAGATGCACCTTAGTCTCTAGACTGACATCCTTGCTCTTTAAAACTCAGAGAGGTATCTGACAGCAAGTTTTCCTAATGCAGTTTGTCTTTTAATTTCCTGACTGCCAATGCCAAGAGTGTTGATTGTGGGACTGAACAAACTGAAATTGTTAACAATCTCTTCTCCATCTATCATGATGCTGCCAATTGGCCCAATGGTGAGACTGTTTTCTTGATGTTGAGTTTCAATCCATATTGCAAACTACAGTCCTTGACCTCTGAAGCAGAAGCTTCAGGCCCTCCTCAGTTTCAGCAAGTAAGGCATGTTGTTGATGAGTCTTCCTCCAATCCTGATGCCACATTCCTCCTCAGAAAGTCCAGCTCCTTGAATAATCTGTTTTGTATACAGATTAAAAATGTATGGAGACAGAGAACATCCCTATGTACTCCTTTCTTGACTTTGAACCATGCAGTGTTTCCTTGTTTTGTTCTGAGGACTATCTCCTTACTCAAGTATAGGTTTTACATGAGCACAATCAGGTGTTCATTAAACAACTTGTGTTGAAGAGGCAATGGTGAAAAACGAAAAAAAACAACAACCAAGGCAATGGTGATGAAGGAGGAAACTCAAGCTGCTCTGAAAGAATTGGCAAAAAACAAGGCTCCAGGAATTGATGAAATACCATTTAACAAATTTCAACAAGCAGATGCACCCTGGACGTGGTCACCAGGCTGTGCCAAGAAATCTGGAAGACAGCTACCTGGCCAGCTGACTGGTAGAGACCCAGATTTATTCCCATTCCAAAATATAAAAGTGACCTGATTGAGTGTGGAAATTATCGAACAACATCACTAATATCACATGCAAGCAAAATGCTGTTGAAGATTATCTAAAAACAACTGGAACAGTACATTGATAGAGAACTACTAGAAATACAAACTTGGTTTAGAAGAGATTGTGGCACCAGAGACATTATCACCAATGTAAGATGGATCTTGAAGAAGCAAAGAGTACAAGAAGAATGTATATCTGTGTTTCATTGACTATGCAAAGACATTTGACTGTGTGGATCACAACAAATTTTGGCTAAACAAGAATGAGAATCCCAGAGCTCCTGATTGTGCTCATGCGAAGCCTACCACCTATTAGCTGTGGCCTTTTGGGTGAATAACTCTCTATGCGTCTTTTTTTTAAAAAAAAAAAAAATCTGCAAAATGTGACAGTAATTTACATGCTGAGAGATAAAACATGAAGAGCTCTGACATATTTTTCTTGGTAACATGAGGAACACAAGTGCCCCTGTTTGCCCTGCTGATGTTGGTCATTGTCTCTCCCCACGTGGCCTTTCTTTTCTGGTACCTGCTGGTCTTTCCCTCTGGGCTCCAGTTGAAACCAGAGTATTTGTTGTGTGTTCCACCCAATTCATTTTGGCTGAAACTCGAGGACAGGTGGTATGGGGTGGGGATGGGAAAGGGCCTGATCTTGTGTATTTGTCTTTGAGACTCAGCTCTGTGCTCTCTTCTGAAGCTTTGTTAGCTGTTCTCCAGTGGGTCAGAGGTGTATCCTCTTCCTGTGGGATTCCTTGGTTTGGGGTGATTCCGCCCATGCAGTCAGCTTGGAGGTCTGGAAAGCAGAAAGCCTTAAGGGTCAGTCTTTCAAGTCCTGGGAATCTGTTAGGGTGGATGTTTCCTCCCAGTTTGCTCTAAGCACTTCCTTGCCTTTCTGCTTCCTTCAGTCTGAATGCATGTTTTAGAGTGTTGTGGGTTTATTTCCCTCCTAAAACACTGGTAGAAAAACTAGTAATGTGTCAAGCTGCTTACTGAAAGTTTGTTGGTTCGCGTCTACCTTGTGATAAGACCAATATCCTCAGAAACCTGATGGGGGGCCCAAGTCAGGATTAACACCATAGCAGAAGGCAGGGCTTTGGTGTGGGGTCAGAGCCAACTCAGCATCATCCATTCTCAGCTGCCCCAGACTCTTCTTTCTTTTTTCTCCCCTTGGCATGACTTTTTGAGCTTTGTTATGCTCATTTTTTCATGTTCTGCTGTTGGAAACTTCCTTGGCTTTTGTATTTTCACCTTTAGGTATTGTGAAAGCACAGATGTCTGATGCAATTATTATTCTGCCATCTTATCTGGACATCTTTTTTTTGTTTGTTTTAAATCCAGTTAATTGGAATGATTCAACATCAGGACAGCAAGTGGGGAACTGGACTGGTCACATCAGTGGACAGAGGAGGGGAGGGGCTGGGGACGGGATGAGAGGCAAGGTTCTTGCTGGATGTACGGACATGGTATCCAGGGCCCTTGCCACACTCGCAATTGGAAGAAAAGGGTAGGGAGACAGGTGTGTCAGGGATGGGTGGGGCAGTCAGATAGGACTGCCTGGCTCTCACTTCTTGTTTTTTAGTTGATTGGCCAACCAGTCCAGGCCTTCGTACAACCCGTCCCCACTGGTGGCACAGGTGGCCTGAATATACCAGTTGTGATGACGAAGGGAATGCAGGCCCAGCTTGTCTGTGATCTCTGCAGCATTCATAGCATTAAGCAGATCCTGTTTGTTTGCAAAAACAAGGAGCACAGCATCCCGAAGCTCGTCCTCCGCCAGCATCCTCATCAGCTCCTCTCGGGCCTCATTTACTCGTTCTCGATCATTGCTGTCCACCACAAATATCAACCCTTGTGTGTTCTGGAAGTAGTATCTCCAGAGAGGCTGAATCTTGTCTTGGCCACCCACGTCCCTCACTGTGAAGCTGATGTTCTTGTATTCCACTGTCTCCACATTGAATCCAATGGTAGGGATGGTGGTGATGATCTCCCCTAGTTTTAGCTTGTATAGGATGGTGGTCTTCCCTGCAGCATCAAGGCCCACCATCAGGATGTGCATCTCCTTCTTCCCAATCAGGCTCTTAAGAAGGTTTCCAAAGATATTCCCCATGATCACAGCAGCTGCTTTCTGAGGACAGTGAAGCCCAACTGGGGCAGTGGCAATCTGGTTTGGACCTCATCCCTGGTGTGGAAGACTTAACCTCCCGGATCATGCAAGAGCTACGTCCTTATCTGGACATCTTGCAGTGAGCCTTTAAAACACAAAAGATACTGAAAAAGGAAAAAAATATTAAAAAAAATCACACCACACAAAAGATAGCTGCATTCAAAGATTTGGGCCCCCCCCAATAAAATATTTGGGGCCCAGACACTGCATAGTTTGTAGACGATCTGGATTAAGGCATGCGTGAGGCTCCAGGATCTCACTGTTACTAGCATCCCTGTGGTTCTGTAACATCCCTGGGGGTGTGGTACGTTAATGCTATGGACTGCTGACCAGTGGTTGATAGTTTGAATTCACCAAGTCACTACACAGAGGAAAGATGGGTAGTCAAGATTTACAGCCTCAGAAACCCATTAAAGAATGACCATGACTCAGAACTGACTTCAGGGCTGTAAAGTTTTTGATTTGGTGATTCCAGTCCTCAACCAGATATTAACTCAGCATCCTTCTAAACAATACATCTTTTACTTTATCACTGAGTCTATCTGAAGAGCAAATTAAACATGTAAAGTACATAATTTCTCAAAGATTCCATAAATGTGAAGAGTGTGTGTGTGTGTGTGTGTGTGTGTCCTATTTGCTTGGTTTTGTTTGTTTGTCTCATTGTAATCACCAATAGAAACAAAGACAAGAAACTCTGTCTTTGAAGATTGGAAACAAAGTTGGTCTTTTAGTTATTATTTTTATAGTGATTCTTGAAAGAAATATTCTTAGATCTTATACTCATTTCTAGATCTCTCTTAGGTTTTTGTTTTGTTTTGTGCTAGTATTTACAGAATGAATTATTCATTAGTGCTTTTTAAAAAAAATTTTACATGCTCTGGATGTTGACATTGTCAAAGTGATATCCATTCATCAGAGTTTTAACAGAGTACCATGCATAACAGGGCTTCTGCTTGGAATTTAACTGATAAAAAATGATTTGTCAGGTTAAAAATTATCTGAATTAGTTCAAGCTGTTTCCTTCAACTTGTAACATTTAAATTACTTATATAAGTAGAAGAATAACTAATAATATGGGTATAAATGTGCAAAAGGGTAGGAGGGCAGATAAAGGGGAAAGGTGGAAGTCATTAGGATAGTAGAGTTTAGTGGGTGGATAAGAAGGGTGAAGGGATAGGAAAGATTCAATGAGAACGTAAAAATATGGGTAATAATAGGCATAGATCAAAGGCAATTAATAATATAAAATACAATGAATGATTGTATGAAACAATGTAAGTGAAAGATTGTCTAAAACACATCTATGAATCAAACAATGTAAATGAATTATTGTGTGAAACCATTAAAAATATTTAAAAAAAATAAATTACTTTTATGATCTCTAAGGACTGGAAGCATCTAAGAATATTTAAGTAACACTTTTGAAAGTTTTTCTGTAATGTATAAATTTAGAAGCAATATTTTCAAATTATATGTTACAGTTGATAGAAAAAATGGTTAATATTCCTATATGCGTTAGACTGAGCACATTCGGAAAAGATTGGAGAATATTGATTTTTTAAATTAATTTCAATGAACATTTACAGAGATTTTGGATTTCCATTCATTCATTGTTGCAGAGAATATTGATTTTGTGGCCATCTGCCTATTGTCTGCCCTCGCAATACTTAGGGTATCATTCCTCAATCTACTCAATCTACCTTTAAGGAATGGTTGCAATACATCGTCTCAAAGTATTGTGTCATTTTTTTTTTTGCATTATTTTTTTCTGCAAGGTATATACTTTAAGGGAATTTTTTTGCATTCTTTTGCATCTAAATTTATTAGATACAGTTTTCTATGTGTCCATAGTATTGATGCAGAAAATATTTGAATTGATAGAGAAAGTGGAGTTTATATACTTACTGAAATGTACGTTCATGTGATAACAACTTCAAGTAAGCACTTTTCTTTCTCATCATTCAGTCTAAGTTTAGTTCTTAAATTATTACATATGTATATGTCATGCCTTCATTTTATGACTGATCACAACATTTGATGTTCTATTAAATGTCATATTCTTTCAGAATTTTAAAACTAGAAAGTCAGCTTGTTCAACTTCCCTCAGATGGGAAGCATACATGTTTACTGAGTTTTCTTAAGTCACACTGTGCAAAGCACATGGGCTTTTGATTGACAATGCAGCGTCTTTTTTGGCTAAACTGTCTTGCTTGTGGTGTTACCTAGTAGAGGTTGTTAAGGGTGAATTTCACCACTTTGTAAAATGTATTTTAGTTAACCTTTTTTTAAATAGTAAATTTTTGAAAACCTTTTTTAGTCACAACTCTATGTTTGGGGGTGATGGAAGAAGTAAAATATGAAACAAGAAGGGTGGCTATAACAAAAGAGGAAATGGCAGCATGGAATAAACAAGGAAGTGAATGTTAAGATGCTGACAGATGAGAAGCCCACGATGCAACATTAGTCACCTACTGTCTTTGTTATCTAGTGCTGCTGTAACAGAAATACCACAAGTGGGTGACAGGACTTTTATTTTCTCACTATTTAGGAGGCTGGAAGTCTGAATTCAGAGTTCCGGCCTTAGGGGAAGATATTGTATCTTTGTCTGTTCTAGATGCAGGTCCTTATCTCTTTGACTCCTGGGTGATCTTCTTGTAAGTCCACACCACTCCACCCCATCTCTGTTTTTGCTTGTTTTAATTTTTTTTATATCGCAAAAGACATTGAATCAAGACACACCCTACACTAATTCTGCTTCATTAACTGCATAAAGGCAACCCATTCCCAGATGGAATTATGACCCCAAGCATAGAGGCTAGGACTGAACCCATACTTTTAAAATTATTATTAATACTTTAAGGAAAGTTTAGAGAAAGCTTGGATTTCCATTCATTCATTGTGGCACATCAAAACCATCCATTTTTGTGGGCTAGAGTTTAATCCATGCATTTATTGTATGGCCATGTGTTCTACTGAGTGCAGTAGCTTAAAGTTAGGATTTATAAGAAACCAATGTTAGTGAATGTTCTTTTTTTCATAATTAGTGTTGTTATGTGCTGTCAAGTCACCTGTGATGTATAGCAATTCTATGTACAGCAGCTCTTAACCCTACCCTGTCCTGAGCCAGTCATACTAATTCCAACACACCAACCTCCATTGCCCCAGTTACTGTATCATTCCATCTCATCTGGGGTCTCTTGTGCTGTCCGCCCACCCTTCCAAGCATTATGTCCTTCTCCAAGGACCAGTCTCTTCTGGCCATGTGCCCAAAGTATGTGAGACAGAGCTTAAAAATCCTAGCCTCTAAGGAGAAACTTGGTTTCACCCTCTCTAAGACAGACTTCTTTGTTTTCTTGACAGTCCATGGTATGTAAAATTAAGTGTGCCAAATGTAGTATTTGTATTGTTTACTTCGGGAGAGAATTAGGAAGACTGGACTGGCTGTGGTTAATGTAAGTGTGTTATGCTAGGCAGGCTACACATTTCCCTCCTCAAAATGTTACAGTACAAAATACTATTTCTGTTTCCTTTGAGAAGACTTCTCTCACAGGTAGTTTTCATTAGTCCTTTGGGGGTACAGCCACACAGCCTTGAAAACATACCCTAGCAGTTTTGGGTTTTTAATTTAAAACTTTGGGTAACATTCCACATTTTCCTTGGATCTGGGACAGTAATGCCAGACTGAGGATGACTGGGAGGGTGGCCTAATAAAAAATGATACCCCCAGTTCAGTGCTACAGTGGAAACCATTGCATCCTGACACATGGTCTATACTCTGCAGCCAAATAAAGTCAGGTCTTAGCATCTAGTTAGAAGATGAGCTGGTAGCCTTTCCTGGTTCTTTGAGGTAAAACATTAAAAACTGCTAGAGTTCTGAGCAACAGGAACCGCACCCTGCATGATAGGAGATGGTAGGGAGTAAATGGCTTTCAGATGTGAACATTTTGTGACTAAAACTTGTAAACAAAAACTTCATCTTTTATTCCTGATTTCCCAATTTCCTTCCTCTATACGGTGACCGATCTACCTTCTACTTTTAGGAATCTCTCCAAGAAGTACCAACCGAAGAAGAACTCGAAGGAGGAGGAGGAATACAAGTATGTTTACCCCTGATGTTACTGGGTGATCTTTATGTGCACTGGCAATGATTATTAAGGGGAAGGAGAAATAGCTGTTCAATTAAGTTGCACTTAACTGTTCGTATTTATGCCAGCTTTTCTGTTGGGATAGAGAATGGGAAAAATATAATTGATTTTTCTTCTGTGGTACCACTAGTCCTGTTCCAGGTAATTTCAATTAAAGTAATTAGGAAAAGCTTAAAATGTAACCTGAAAAATATAGGAAGCATGAATTATGTTTTCTAGAGATTGAATTCTGTTATTGAAAAACCTCCCATACTGTCTTTCATCCAAGAAATATATCAGTTTCAGACAGCAATGAAAGTATTTGAACATGGCTAGCCCCAACATATTATATCTCTGGTGTAGCTATAAATAGCCATGGCATTACTACCAGACGCATTTTTTATTATAGTTAGGCTAAGTACAACAAAGTTAGGTAGAATAGAGCAAGTCAGTTTCACAAAAGGAAAAGTGATCCAGTTGTAATTAATTCTAAGCCATTTTAATAAGAACACTGTGCATGTAATGAATTGTCAGGATCCTGTGGGAAGTCAAGGCAAATTAACTGGATTTTAATTACTGTTTCATCAGAGTAAGACAGGGTTGGTGTGGTTGTGACCCTGTTTGACGGGCAGTGGTGTGTGTTCTGTCTCGTAGGTATACGTCATGTAAAGCGTTCTATGAATACAAGTATACGTCATGTAAAGCGTTCTTTTCCACCCTGAATGAGATGAATGACTACGCAGGGCAGCATGAACTAATCTCCGAGAACATGACCTCCCAGATCACTGTGGAGTTGGCACACTACGTCCAGGAACTGAAGCAAGAGAGGAAATCGGTAACATTATTTTTTCCTCTTCCTAAGATAAAGTCTAAAAACAATGAGACTATCCTCAAAGCTTTAAAGACTGAGGGGTCTTACACTGATGGCTTTGAGCATTGTGTGAAAGCTCTGAATCCTGTTCCTGTTCCTAGATCTTTACAACATCATTTCAAGGGCCCCTCAGACAAATACCACAAATAGCTTGCACTTGTCTACCCGGCGGTGCTGAGGATGAAAGGCCTGGCGATCTACTTCTGGAAAGTCAGCCTTTGAAAACCTGCCCTGACTCTTCTGGGTCACCACGAGTTAGAATTGATTTGGTGGTGACAGGTTTGGTTTCAGACCCTCATACTCATCTGTGAACTCTTGAGTATGAATCCCTTTGAGGAGTCTTAAATATATCTTGGAATATGAAACATAAAAGAATAAGCAATATAATTAGTATATGTTTTGGTATCATTATGTGCAGAACTCAGAACTGACCCTCTAAGCAAATTTTCAGAGCCTGTATATTGCGTGTGAAGATACAGCCCATCTTTCTCCCTTAGAGCAGCTGGTGGGTTCAAACTTCTTCCCTTTGGGTTGGCAGCACAGCTCCTTATCACTAGGCCACCAGAGCTCCTGGGTAATGTATAGGATAAGTAAAGTTAAAGGAATTGACCTCAGTTACAACAGCTTGGTCCTTGGCTAGTTCATTGCAATCTGCTGAAGAGGACCTTATTCCTTTTCCAGTCAAGATTTGGCCTTAAGGACTTAATCTTTATGTCATGATCTGTATCGTTATACTTTGATTGCTTGTGAGGTATATAATTTATTGATAGTAATACAATGCCCTACTTGGCCAATAATATTCTTTTTATGTAAATTTGAGCCCATAATTATTCTGTTAATGCCCTAGGGACATTTATGAGTCAATAAGATAAATATGGTTCCTGTTGAAGTGGAGGGGATAGTAATAATGTTGCCAAAAAAATAATAATTATGATTGTTGCTACAAAGTAAACATACTGATATTATGAGTATATGTAACAGCATGGTGTGACATACTGGGAATTAAGGTAGACTTCCCAGGGATTAACATTGAAGCTGAGACTTGGGGAATGAGTAGTAATTATCAGAAACCAGCATTCCTTAGAGGAAGCAGTTGGTGCAAAGGCCCTGAGACAGGAGAGTATTTGGGCTAGGTTAAGTTCTCCATGGGATAAAGATGGGCAGTCTCCTCTTGTATGATTTACTGCTTCTGAAAAGCCACTGGAGGGTTACTGTGAGTCATTTACAGCTGGATGGTATGTAACAACAACAAAGTTTTTACACATGTCCACTGGGGCTGGAATCTAGAAATATGGATGAAAAAAGAAATAGATGCCAGATTATGTAGGATCACAAATGTCGGTAATGTTTGACTGGAAGATGTGTCACGTGGGTGATTTCTACTCCAAGCTTACAGAGTGACTGAGGGCCGTTGCCTCAGGAGCTGCACTATTCTCTTTCAAACCAGTAAGCCTGGTCTTTTTCCTGACTGTATTTTGCTCCTGGTTGTCTCCCACTCTGGCAGAAGCCTTCTGTGTGACTCCCTTTAGTGTGGTCAGGAGTGGTAACCAGGCCTTATCAAGGTCTTCCCGTCTCAGGGTCATGGAGATTGATGAGGTTCATGTGATTGGTTAGTCCATTGGAATATCTTTGCTTTTTCTTTACTCTTCTTAGGTGGGGAGAGGCAGATAATCTTAGCCACTCATAAACTCCAGCTGCTACTTGCCAAAATAGGATGTAGAACACTGTCCCTGCGTGTTGTGTGGACTGTGCTATTCCAGTTGACCTTGATGTTTAGGAACTGTGTTCCTGAGCTCCCAGGCCCAGCAATATATATATTTATAAATTATTTATGTGGCCTGTGTTGCCACATGTAGATTAATGTCTATTATTACTGATAATGACAGTCTTGGAAGAAGGAGGGCCAGAGTACTCCTTTGAGGCAAAGACTTTGTCTCATCTACTTTGGGCATGATATCAGGAGGGACTGGTCTCTGAAAAGGACATCATGCTTGGAAAAGTGGAAGTTCAGCAAAAGAGAAGACTCTCAATGGGTGGCATAATGAGCTCAAGCTGAGTAGGGATTGTAAATGGGGCAGAGAGGTGGGCAGGTTGTTCACAGGGTCCCCAGCTCAATGGCACCTGACAATTGTAACCATTGGCTGGCGATTTCAAGTACTTCATGTACTTATTGGTCTTCTGAATGTCTTCTTTGAAGTGTGTTTGTGACCTCTGCCCTTTTTTCACTTTGTCTTTTTGTTGTTGAAGTACTGATGCTTTCTATAAATTTTAGAGATTAGCCTTCTTTTAGATATATCAGTTGTGGCTCTTGTGCTCATGTGAAACCTATACTTGGACCAGGAAGCAGTAGTCAGAACAGAGCAGGGAAACACTGCATGGTCGAGGACCAGGAAACATGTGCCTCAGGGATGCACCTGTCTCCATACCTTTTCAATCAATATACAGAACAGATCATTTGAGAGGCTGGAGTTTATGAGGAGCAATGTGGCATCAGGATTGGAGGAAGACCCATCAACAACCTACATTATGCAGATGACATGACCTTGAATGCTGAAACTGAAGAGGACATGAGATGTTTGCGGCAGAAGGTCAAGGACTGTAGTCTTCAATATGGACTGAAACTCAACATCAAGAAAACAAAGATTCTCATTACTGGGCCAATTAGTAGCTTCATGATGGATGGAGAAGAGATTGAGATTGTTGATAACTTCAGCTTGCTTGGTCCCACAATCAACACTCTTGGCACCTACAGTCAGGAAATCAAAAGACAATTTGCATGGTGAAATTCTGCTGTCAAGGACCTCTCTAGAGTACTGAAGAGCAAAAATGTCAGTCTAGAAACTAAGGTGCAGCTGATCCAGGTCATAGTCTTGGCAATTACTTGCTGTGCATCAAAGAGCTGGACAGTAACTAAGGATGAAAGAGTTGTGGTGCTAGAAAAGAGTATTGAACATACTGTGGACTGCCAGCAGAACAAACAGGTCTATCCTGGGGAGAGTGAAACCAGGATTTTGAACATACTTTGGGCACGTGACCGGAAGAGTCCAATCAGTCCTTGGAAGGGGACATCATGCTTGAAGGGTGGAGGGACAGCGTAGGAGAGGAAGCCCCCAGGATAAGATGGATTGACTCAGTGACTGGAGAAATGGAATTAAGTGTGTTGGAGATGATGAGATTGGCTCAGGATAGGGCAGGTATCAGATGTAGGGTCACTGTGAGCTGCAAGTGACTCAATAGGCACATAACAACAACCAACAACAACAATCAGATATATAATTGCCTAGGGAGTTCTAGTGGCCTAGTTGTTAGAAGGTGTGCTGCAATCCTAAAGGCATGTAGTTCAAATCCACCAGCTTCTCCCTGGGAGAAAGATGGGTAATCTGCCGGGCAATTAACGACCTCTGATGAAAACCCACCAGACGGTCAGCTATGGGTTGGCTTCAACTCAGCAGTACACAACAACAATACCCAGTCAGTACAAGCAATCAGTACAGTTACTCCTCAATCAGTACAAGTGGAATTTTGCCAGGAAAAGTAGAAAGTAGTGGGTGGTAGCTGGAGGAGTTTTGAGTGTAAAAGACGTTTCATAAACAAAAAATTCTTTTTTGAAAGGAGATGAGTTGCAGCTAGGGGTAAAAGTTGCATATAACTTCTTAAAGGCCACATATGAACATCAGTCAGCTTTTATGTCAGTAGGAAAATATTGGTAACGTGCCAAGGAGCATTCGTAGTCTTACTGCTTTTTTAAATCAGATACAATTATAGTTTTAGCTGTGAGCTGTGCAGCAAACCACACTAAAACTTACTGGCCTAAAAATAACAGTGTATTCATTTTTCTTGTAGTTCAGGGTTTGACTGGACTGTGCTGAGCGGTTCTTGCCTCAGGTCCCTCAGGCAGCTCTATTTCCCCATCTGCTGTAATCATCTCCCGGGCCTGCTGGGCTTGGCGGCCATGATGGCCTCTTTCACCTGGTCAGCACCTCAGATACTCTTCCCAGCAGAGTCGCTTAGGCTCATTACATGGAAGCTCAGGACTCTGATCCTGCCAGCCCAAACGGCCACAAGTCCTGTGAGATTCATGGAGATGGAGAAACAGACTTCACCTCATGTTGGGATCTTTGACAAGGCCATACAGAGGAAGAGCATAGTTTGACAGCCATCATACTGGGAGATATCTTCTGCCTCTCATATTTCTGCATCACTAGTGTCTAGTTTATTTATAGTGATCACTATAAATTTTATCGGGATGGATCAATGGTGCATATCTGGGTGAGTGAATTAATGAAAGCATGAATGCACAAACATCTTGCCCCAAACTGGAGATCATTTGTGAATATTTGTGAATGACTTCAAGACGGCGGACTAACTCGGTGCGCATGCTTTGCACCAGTTCCCTTTCCCTCCTTGTGTTGTGTTATTGTCAGCTCCTGTTGAGGTGACTCCAGCTCCTGGTGATCTTGTGTGTGACGGAACAAAGGCTTCGTAGTATGGTTTGGGGTGTGCTTAGAAAGTAGGAAGACACACACGCTTTAAGTTTAACCCACTGATCAAACAAGCAAGTAAACAAACCAGTGTGTTCATAAACTGAGATAAAGAAATATTTTCACATCTGAACAATGGTTTTCATCTGGGTCCAGTTTTGTTTACCCCAGTGCATGCCTTCTGTTGCTTTTGACAATGTTTACCCCGTGCATTTACCTGGTGCATACCCACTGTAACATTTGGCAGTGTTAACTGGTGCATACCCACTGTAACATTTAGCAGTGTTTACCCTGTGTTTCCAACTGTAACATTGAGCAATGTGTGGAGACATTTTGGTGCCACCATTAAAGGGGAGAAAGTGGCATCTTGGAGGTTGGGGCCAGAAAGGCTGCTAAACATCTCTCATTGCATAGGACAGCCTCTACATCAAAGAATTATCTGGTCCATTGAAAACTCCTCCACTAGAGCTCCAAAGTAGCAAA